AGCATCTGTCAAGGCTGCTGAGAGTTCAGGTCAGACGAAGGTAGAGAATGGACCACCAGATTTAGCAACCTGGAAGACGACGGTGATTTAGGTTAAATTCTGTTTACTCTAAGATCACTATTTGGGCTTTATATTCTCTGGGCAGTCTTCCTTGACTATCAAGTTGGATTTATAAACCCTTAATGTAAATCATGTAACACCTGTTACTTTACACTCAGACTAATGTTTTGAAATTGTCCTTTTACTTATCTGTCTTCTCTCAGCAACATATGCAAGGGCAAGGCTTGTTTGATCACTGTTGCGCCTTGCACAGTACCTGGCAAAGGGTAGAGGCAACCTTTGCCAGATGAAATGGAATTGAATGGTCTGTCATTTGTGCCAGATGTCCACCCCTGGCTGGTTAAAAAGAGAGAACAAAAAGAGGGTGGATAGATAGCAGGGAGTAGCCAGGTCTAGGTGGTATTAGTGATGCATTCTTTGATGACAAAGACTAACGTTGCTACCTCATTTGGTTTACTTTAGGTTCAGAGAAGCTTGTTAGGACAATCCGGAATGAGCTTCTGATGGAATATGTAGGTGTGCCGGTTACCTGAGGGCAGGAGAACAGCCCAAAGTCAGCTAAGCAAGTTAGTGAGCAGTTGTTATTAGTCAGCCATGCCCACTTCAACAAAATTTTATCAATGGATAACTTGTAATTTTCCTACAGTTTTCATGGAAGAGCTGGTAACAAAGGGAATGAAATGTGCATAGCTCAGTTCTATACATTTACTAACTATACAGTTGGCCAAGGGATCCCAAGTCTTTTTTTGTTGCTAAAATCAAAGATTATGAATTGGTTTCCTTATTATTTCTAAATTTTTTTCTCATTTCCTTTTAGAGTAGAAACATTCCTAAAAATAGGCTATAAGACTAATTATAGCAGTTAAGTTAGTAATTATGTGATATTATTAATATTTACATGATTAAATAGTAACTATAGTAGGATATTTTAATTTCAAGAAAAGTAAATGGTATACATTAATAATGAACCCTAACTCTGTAGGTTTTGTTTATAAGATTTCTTAAAATTGTATTTTAGGTTCTGGGGCACATGTGCAGATCACGCAGGGTTGTTGCATAGGTACTTATGTGATAAGGTGGTTTGCTGCCTCCATCCCCCCGTCACTTATATCTGGCATTTCTCCCCATGTTATCCCTCCCCAACCTCCCCAGACCCTGCTGTCCCTCCCCTAGTCACCCCCAACAGACTCCAGTGTCTGATGCTCCCCTCCCTGTGTCCATGTGTTCCCATTGTTCAATATCCACCTGTAAGTGAGAACATGTGGTGTTTGATTTTCTGTTCTTGTGTCAGTTTGCTGAGAATGATGGTTTCCAGATTCATCCATGTCCCTACAAGGGACACAAACTCGTTCATTTTTTATGGCTGCATAATATTCCATGGCATATATATGCCACATTTTCCTTGTCCAGTCTAACATTGATGGGCATTTGGGTTGGTTCCAAGTCTTTGCTATTGTAAACAGTGCTGCAATGAACATATGTGTGTATGTGTCTTTATAATAGAACCATTTATAATCCTTTGGGTATATAGCCAGTGATGGGATTGCTGGGTCAAATGGAATTTCTATTTCTAGATTCTTGAGGAATCGCCACACTGTCTTCCACCATGGTTGAACTAATTTACACTCCCACCAACAGTGTAAAAGTGTTCCTATTTCTCCACATCCTCTCCAGCATCTCTTGTCTCCAGATTTTTTAATGATCGCCATTCTAACTTGTGTGAGGTGGTATCTCAATGTGGTTTTGATTTGCATTTCTCTAATGACCAGTGATGATGAGCATTTTTTTTATGTTTGTTGGTCTCATATATGTCTTCTTTTCAAAAGTGTCTGTTCATATCCTTCACCCACTTTTGAATGGATTTGTTTTTTTCTTGTAAATCTGTTTTATTTCTTTGTAGATTCTGGATATTAGCCCTTTGTCAGATGGGTAGATTGCAAAATTTTTTTCCCATTCTGTTGGTTGCTGGTTCACTCTAATGATTGTTTCTTTTGCCGTGCAGAAGCTGTGGAGTTTAATTAGGTCCCATTTGTCTATTTTGGATTTTGTTGCCAATGCTTTTGGTGTTTTAGTCATGAAGTCCTTGCCTATGCCTATGTCCTGAATGATTTCGCCTAGGCTTTCTTCTAGGGTTTTTATGGTGTTAGGTCTTATGTTTAAGTCTTTAATCAGTCTGGAGTTAATTTTAGTGTAAGGTGTCAGGAAGAGGTCCAGTTTCTGCTTTCTGCACACTGCTAGCCAGTTTTCCCAACACCATTTATTAAAGAACAGAATCCTTTCCCCATTGCTTGTTTTTGTCAGATTTGTCAAAGATCCGATGGTTGTAGATGTGTGGCATTGCCTCCGAGGCCTCTGTTCTGTTCCATTAGTCTATATCTCTGTTATGGTACCAGTACCATGCTGTTTTGAATACTGTAGCGTTGTAGTATAGTTTGACGTCAGGTAGCATGATGCCTCCAGCTTTGTTCTTTTTGCTTAGAATCGTCTTGGCTATGCGGACTCTCTTTTGGTTCCATATGAAGTTTAAGGTGGTTTTCTTCCAGTTCTATGAGGAAGGTCATTGGTAGCTTGATGGGAATAGTGTTGAATCTATAAATTACTTTGGGCAGTATGGCTATTTTCATGATATTGATTCTTCCTAACCATGAGCATGGAATGTCTTTTCCATCTGTTTGTGTCCTTTCTTATTTCCTTGAGCAGTGGTTTGTAGTTCTCCTTGAAGGGGTCTTTTACATTCCTTGTCAGTTGCATTCCTGGGTATTTTATTCTTCTTGTAGCAAACTCTTGTGAATGGGAGTTTGCTCTTGATTTGGCTCTCTGTTAGTCTTTATTGGTGTATAGGAATGCTTGTGATTTCTGCACATTGATTTTGTATCCTGAGACTTTGCTGAAGTTGCTTATCAGTTTAAAGAGATTTTGGGCTGAGATAATGGGGTCTTCTAAATATACAATCATGTCATCTGCAAATAGAGACAATGTTTATAGGATTTTTAGAAGACTAGTTAAATTAAATTTCTTTGTATAGGCAAGAGTAGACCTCTAATTTTTAACTTTTACATGATAAGTTAATTTTATATTTGTAAGAGATCACACTTACTAATTACTAAGTTACTCTCTTAAAAAAGCCTCTTCAGGGGTCCAAAGTGGCTCCCGCCGGAGCTCATGGCGCTCGCGAAGGCGAGGTCATCAGTTCAAGGCTAACCTGAGCAACCTCATTAGCTCAAACTGATTGGCAAAAAAAAAAAAAAAAAAAAAAAAAGCCACTTCAACATACTGAGGTTTACATTTCATATCTGTGCCATTGGGCCAATATATTATTATATAAATAATATTGGAGAGATAGTGCATATAAATTAAAATTAGGATTAGAAAACTCTCACTAGTTTAAATATAAACATACAGTGTAACACGAATGACAAAACATAGAAGTAAAAGATTTCTAAAGCTTCTTAAGAATGGCTTATAGTAGAATATGAAGAATGGCTAGTAAAAACAAAGTGGTAAAATAACCTGGCTAATTTCTAAAACATCAAATTATCAGGAATTATTCATCTGAATGAGCACTGGTTCCTGCAAAAAGTAACTTTGGTGGCCAAAAAGTTAGTTCATCGTTCAACATTTTTTGACTTCTATGAGAATTTTGAAAGTGATAGCATTTTGTTAAATGTTTAATATGCTCAGGATATCAATTTACGAGAAAATATTTACTTGGGTACATTGGTACTTGTGTTAAAAATCTTTTTACCTCTTTGTAGTAATGTAGATTTCTTAAAGTAACTCTGTATGGGGTCTTAGTTTGATAATATAGTTCTGTAATCCTTCTACTTGCATAAGATCGAGAAGCTTTATGGCTAGAATTCACGTTAGGATTTATATTGATTATATTACCCTTCTTTTTCAGGACTTGTGAATAAAGTCCTGAATAAGAAGGGTAATATAAGCAATTGTATTACCCTTTTTTAATCTCTGGATGTTTGTTTTTTCATTTTTGGATGTTGTTGGTTTTGTATTATCCACTTTATTGTGCTATGAAATAACAGTGGTTTTGTATTATCCACTTTATTGTGCTATGAAATAACAATATTTCGTTATGTTATTTTATGTTATTTATGAATATTATGTTATTTCATAGCACAATAAAGTGGATAATACAAAACCAACAACATCCAGAAATGAAAAAACAAACCCAAACACCCACAACAACTCACAGTAGGCCCTTATTATCAGCGTTTCAGTCAGCCAACATAAAGTAGGCTCTTGCTACACCCACCTCTGCTTTATTATCCATAGTATTTTTAAGTCTTATTTTTATCAAAATCATCTAACTTACTGATTTGTTTACTCTTTTATTCTCCATTTCTGTCATCCTAGTTTTCTTTTTCCTAAGAGTTGTTTCTTCATAAAAGCATGTGACCTCTGCAACTTATCTTGTCACTCTCCACCCTTTCTACCGAGAATAATGCCTAATATATACTAAGTGATCAACTCTGATACTTCACCTTTGTTCACCAATTTCCCTTCCCTCTTTCCCTTACTTCCATTCCTACTTTCCTCCCTTGAGTCAAAAGCTTTCTCTTCTACAGCAGGCAACAGATTAAAAAAAACTCATCAAATTAGAGGAAATAAATTATGACTTTATAATGGGAAAAAGTAATAGCTTGATTTCTATTGCCTATGGTTGCTACGGGAAAATTGAGCAAACATTTTTTTTTTACAAAATAATCCTCCCTTTCTTCTTGAGCGTAGGCTGCATTTAGTGAGTTGCTTCCAAATAGAGTATAGGAAGAGGTGAAAAGTTACTTTATGGTGCAGAAAATCGTCAGTCACTGTCTTAACCAAGTGATCAAGGTTAACTTTCCCAGTGGTATCATTTTGATACTATGTACCCTTGATACGATGTGATGAGAATGGTGGTTCTGTTATGTGATCTTCTTCCCCAGATCAATAGCCGCAGTGTAAGAATGAGAAAAGCGTCTGCCACAGACAGAATGAAGATCATTCTACACGACATGTGTCCAGTGCTTCTCAATCCTGTCAAGGTCATCGAAAAGAAGGAAAGACAAGACAATATCACAGACCAGAGAAGACTAAGGAGGTATGAAATCCAAATGTGATATAGTTTTGTGGATGGGCTCCTGCAACAGAAAAAGGATATTAGAGAAAAACTGGTGAAATCCAAAAAAGGTCTAGAGTTTAGTTAACAGTAACATGCCAGCTGGGCTTGTTGTGATGAATGCACTGTGGTGTTTATGAAGGAGGTTATAACAATAAGGGAAACTGGATGTGGAAACTCTGTATACTATCTTCGCAACTTCTATGTAAATCTACGACTCTTCTGAAATAAAAAGATTTTGTTTTAAAAAAGCAACTAGGAAATTCCAGCTTGATGTCTCCTGCAACTTTGCAGAGATTTTGCCAAAATGTTACATTCCTTTATAATCCTGTTTGTATGGGAATCAGAATTTTAAAGTCTGACTTTTGGTGGCATTGTAACACATATAAAAATCTAGTACATGTATTTCAGCAAATGAACTTAACAAATTAAAACATTTTGCAAGAATTGTCATTTTTACCATTGTCCCCATTTTCTTATTTATTTATTTATTTATTATTATTTTTAAATTTTTGTATTGCATTTTAGGTTTTGGGGTACATGTGAAGAACATGCAAGATTCTTGCATAGGAACACACGTGGCAGCATGATTTGCTGCCTTCCTCCCCTTCACTTATATCTGGCATTTCTCCCCATGCTCTCTCTCCCCAGCTCCCCACCCCACGCCATTGTCTATATTTAGTTGGTAGCTGCCGTTTCTCCAGCGACTGTTAGGATATCATTAAAATCCTGAGTTAACATATCATTTGACTATCTCTTAGATACTTTAACACGTAATTCCTAATCAACAATGGTGAGATGATGACTACTACCTTTATTGATGGAGAAAAAAGGGAAAATAGGGTTGTCCCTTGAGCAATTCAGGATTAAGACCACCGCCTTCTGCATAGTCAAAAATCCACATACAACTTCTCACCACCCCAAAACGTAACTAATAACCTACTGTTGGCAGAAGCCTTACCAATAAAACAGTTAATTCGCATGTTTGTGTGTTTTGTTTGCTCTTAGCTACCGCAGTTACCTAGATTTTAATTTAGGAGTGATCACAGCGATTGCTAATTCATGAGAGAGCTAAAGCAGCCAGTTTATTCCCAGGTATTTCAGGACTGCTTGGGAATCTTGGTGAATTGCTTTGCTCATCTCGAGGTATTTTAGAAGTGAGAAGTATTGGCAATATGATAAACTGGCCAGGCTTTGATCTGAAAGTCAAATGGTACTGTGTTTTTTATGACAGAGGAATTAAGCTGTGCATACTGTTTTCTTATAAGAAAACTAGAGAAAAGAAAATGTTTCTAAGAAAACCATAAGAAATAAAACATATTTACCATTTATTAAATGGAGTGAATCATCAAAAAGGTCATCATCCTTATTTTCTTCACAGTGGGTCTTCTGTGGAGGAAGAGGAAGAGTTGGTCTTGCTGTCTCAGGAGTAACAGAGGTGGAAGAAAGGGAAGAGGAGGCAGAAGAGGTAGGCACACTCAGTACAGGATTTTACTGAAAAAAATTCACATGTAAGTAAACCCCCACAATTCAAACCCTGTTATTCAGAGTCAACTGATACTAGCTTTTAAAAATTAATTTCTCTGATGTTTGATTTACTTCATAAACTTGTATTCTAGTGGAATATCGCTAATTCACAAAAGTTGTAAAGAAGGGTTATCAGTTGAGATAAAATTGACTGAGCATCAGTGGAAATTTTATTGTTGTTAAGCATTAACTGTGGTCAGTCTGTTTTATAGGGGATTATATAATGAATAAATATTGTAGATATAAGAAAGACAATTGCTTAAAATGGACATTTATATAACTCTGTCTGTGAATTAATTGAATAGATTCACAGTATCCTAAGATGGTACAAGTTACTAAGATTTTGAACTTCAATTTTGGCCTTAGTTAATAAGTAATTTTTTTGCTATGTCAGTTTTTTTTTACATTTTTTCCATTAACATGAGCTTTCAGAAGAACAATTATTCATGGTTTTGAAAATTGCTGGCTTGCTACTATTTATATTCATTAACTGCTAAACACTCAGGGACTACGTGCCTCAGGGAACTGGGGTAATTGTCCATGCTAACCAAGAGTGATAAAACGTTTAACAAATGAAACTTTCCACTTCTACTTCCCTTGTAGGAAGTTTATTAACATTTATAACCACCATGATGTTAGGAACCAACATTTATTAAAAACCACTTTGTGTGAAAATACTGTCAGCTTCACGCCAACTCTTGAGACTGAAGAGAGTATTTAGCGGTAAGCAGGAATGAGCTTTGTTCTTACCTACCGGACTCGCCTAGACGTTAATTTAGCAGTGATCACAGCAATTGCCAGTCCATGAGAACTAAAGCAGCCAGTTTATTCCCAAATGTTCCAGGACTGCTTGAGAATCTTGGTGAATGGCTTTGCTCATCTCATGGTATTTCAGAAGTGAGAAGTATTGACAATGATAAAGTGGCCAGGCTTGGATCTGAAATTCAAATGCCATTATGTTTCTTATGACAGAGAAATTAAGATGGGTTACCTTCATTTCTCTGTTACACAGCAGCTACATACATGTACTAGGTGTAATATCTTTTGCCATCGATTTAAAAGGAGTGTAGAAACTTGGGAAAGTCACTGAGGCTTTCTGATTATTGTTCACTTCATCTCTAGTAAATGCAGAAAACAACACAAATCCCATAGGTCACTGTAAGAAAAAGGTTTTGAATGTATATAAAAACGCTTTTAAAAGTGTCCAGCATGCTGATATGTTTGGCTCTGTGTCCTCATCCAAATCTCATCTTGTAGTTCCTGTAATTCCCCTGTGTTATGGGAGGGCCCTGCTGGGAGATGATGGTATTATAGGGATGAGTCTTTCCTGTGCTGTTCTCATAATAGCCAGTAAGTCTTATATGGTCTGATGGTACTAAAAAGGGGTGTTTCCCTGCACAAGCTCTTTTTGCCCACCGCCATCCATGTAACTTATGACTTGCTCCTCTTTGCGTTTTGCCATGATTATGAGGCCTTCTCAGCCACATGGAACTGTGAGTCCAATTAAACCTTTTTCTTTTGTGAATTGCCCAATCTCCAGCATGTCTTTATTAGAAATGTAAAAACGGACTAATAAACATCTGTTGGCTTTTCCTCCTGATATTACCCAATAGATACAGGAAAAGGATGAGGAAATAAATTGGCTTTTCATCCTTTTGTTTTGTTTTGTTTTACGACTTTTGCCACTTCACCCATATGAATACAATACTAACAAAAAAGATAGCTAAATTCTTTCAATCATGAACAAAATCATCCATTGCTAATCTCTTTCAAGAAAACGGAAACAAATGAGTCAGTAGAGACCTCTGTGTTTTTAGTATTTGCAAACTGTGGGTTTGCAAAGATATCAGATTCTAAATATTTAACAATATAAGGCATTTAGATTTGTAATTTAATTCAATCACTTCTGCACATTTGGTGCCCGATTGGTTTATTTATTACATAATCATTTCTCCATTTGGATCTCCGAAAATAAACCAAAACCTTTCTTTGGGGGGTGTTTGTGCGTGTCTGTGTATGTCTGTGTGGGCTTGAATGTTTTACAAATATTTGGTACTTAGCAGATTTTCATTCCCCAGTAGATGTTCATCAGCTATTTCCATGAATTTGTACTTTAAGAGCCACATTTATAGATGAAAAAAAAACCTTTATTATTTTTAAAAGTAGCTCACTAAATTCCTCTTGAAAAATTATAGTGTTTTTAGTCCTGATGAGAACATATAGACTGTATAGAGGTTTATCAAAGTCATTATTCTGCTGACTTTATTTAATAAGAGTTTTAGATAAGCAAAATTTTAAAATGCTAATGAACTCAAATTCTGCATCTGCATTATGCAATTATAAATACGTATTTTACCCCTCAAGTGTTAAACACCTTTTATTCATCAATTACAGACAACCAAATCTGTATTCATTTTTTTCTGTTTTGTCTGTTCAATACAGATGAGGCATGTGCTGGAGAACCACCTATTTGTTTAATATTTATTTTTAAACTAAAAAATTGAGAAAATACATTTCAAAACATTAGAGTCCAATAAAATATGTGGTTGAAATATGTATAGAAAATACTGCACTAACAGTTCACAGTCATTAGTAAATGCATATCCATTAACTGGTAAGTTACCAAATTCATAACAACTCAGCAGCACTGTAATGCTGACTAATAAAAAATCAGCATTTTTAATAAGCATTATGGTATTCTCTGATTTGGAATGAAAGTAATCAGGTGTTCACATGCCTAAGGTGAGGGCTAATAGGTGCCTCCCAAATTCTTGCACCACCTTTACTTCCTCAGGGAAAGTATCACTAAAAGGTTAAAAATGTAGAGGAGTGCAGTGTAATTCGAATTTTGAATTTCCTTTCCTTGTCTCTTCATAAACTGAAATCTACCTGTGGATCTTCATTTGATAAGTAAGTTGAATTAAACTTTGAGGCAGCTGATCATCATGTGTGGAGTCAAACTCAACTTCTAGTTTAAGTCAAAACCTTTAAAACTAGGGACAAGTTGAGAAGACAAATGGACTGCTACAACACATTCACAATTTTAGGCAATTTATTGATTGCTTAAGATTTAATGAATAGTGTGTGTCAATGCTAGATTAAGAAACATGATCTTCTAACAGGGAATCCATGTAACTGCCTTTAGTCACTAAGTATTGGAATTTAGGCCCAGCCCTGTTGCCATCATCTCTCTGAGGAAACCGAAGCAATAGGAGGCATGATTCTTGCCCTCAAGTGCTAGCTTCACATTCACATGGGTGATACAAGAATATGTTTAAGACAGAAACTGCATATTCTCAAGGACAAGAATTTGAGAAATTAGGAAAGATATATTTGGGAAGAGTATCAGGAAAAGTTTCCTGAATAAGTTGGCTCTTTAAGGGAGTCTTAAAGGTGAGTAAAAATTAGTCAATAATTCTCAGCTCTGTCTGTGCATTAGAATTGTCTAAGGATCTTTTAAAAACTACCCAGGCTCCACCCTCAGAAATTGTGACGTAATTGGTCTAGGGTGGGACCCATGATCTTTTTACAAAGTTCCGCAAGTGATTTTAATGTGCTGGCAGGGTTGAGAACTTTGGAGTAAGATAATGAGGAAGGAAAAAGGGAGAGAAAAAGTAAAAGTTTAAGAACATGTGGCACTTTGTTCAATAAAAACATTTATTGAGTACCTACTTGATGCTAGTTATTGAACTGCGTGGTGGGTAAAATAAATGTAATTGAGCAGTGATGCTTGAAGTTTTCTATCTAGTAAAGAGATTCACATACAAACAAGTTATTACAACGCATATGATACTTGTATATGTGTTTGTATCTCTCTTTCTCCTGTGCTCCACAGCACATTATAGGAGAATGATTATTGCATTTTTGAGCCCTGGTTTTCAAAATTGGTTACAAATTGGAATCACTTGAAGAGCACTAAAGAGTACTGATGTTTGGGTCACACACCCAGAAATTCTAATTTGATTGGTTTTGGAGTCAAAATTTCAAAACAAAAAAAAACCCAAACCTCCCTAGGTTATTCAAATACCCAGCACTGGACTAGAGAGACTGGCCTGACAGAAGCAAAGGTGCATTTAGGAGTCAGGTTGCCGGGCAAAACAAGATTGAAGGAAACCTTATCCAAGCAGAGATCTGCGGATCATTACGCTGAACGAGTTGCTATCCTCGATGGTTCTATGTGATCCAATGAAAGGAGAACTTTTAGAAATATTCTCTAGCAATAAAATGAAGAGTGGAATATGGGAAGGAGTTCCCAAAAGTGATTTGTCCATTAGGCACAATAGCCATAGCGCTTAGGGGCCCAACAAAATGTATTAAGGTTCTTTAAAATCAGAAACAACAACTTCTAGGTAGAAGAAAACGTTTTATGTAAAAGCAGCATATTAATCTTTTTTACCAATACAATAGTAAAATAAAATTGTGTGTGTTTGTATAAAATGGAGTAAGGGGCCCCCAAAGGCAAAGTGCTTAGGTCCAATGGATGTCATACTATAGCTCTGGGTTAAAGCAGAACCTCGTCCCAACTAATTTCAATTTCTATCAGATATATTATGTGTAAAAATAAGCAAGCATTTGCTTTCTTACTCCTTTGAATTTTTTCACCTTGATTTCTCTTTGGAATGCAAGGGCCAAGTCTTTTGTCTTATTAGAATATCTAGTTCCGTGCTGGAGAGAACTAATTGAATGAAACAAAACGTCTGGTTCTAAAAGGCTACATGCTATCACAGGACACATGATGGTCCCTGTGTCTAGATGCTCTTAACCTCTTTGTCCAACCAGAGGATTCCTAGTTTTCCTTCAAAACTTACCTAAAACTTTTGAGCTCTGTGTGCAACTTTCTCTACCCTCTCCTGCCACCTGCCTAAAATAATCACTGTGACGTCAATGCATCATCATTTTGTTCATCCATTGTTGCACACGCACCATGCATTATGGCGAATC